TAATTTTGTTGGCTCTTGACAAAATTGTTAATAACTATTGTATAAAATCAAAATATTAAAACAAAATAATAACCAAACAACACAAAACACGATAAAACGGTATTACGGTATATTATAAACATTGACTTGTCCAGTTTCTCACGAAAAAATATTTTAGATTTAGACTTGTCCGTTTACGCACATGGATATTACATAAAAACTATTCATATAGCAGGAATTACAGTTCTACCATTAGACGCGGCGTAAAATTCCCTACAAAATGCACCTATAACCCAAAAAATGATAAAATCTGACTTGACCACCTTCTCACAAAAACCGTCCAAATAATAAGTTACATGTAAAGTATAGGTATAGTTAATAAGATAATTATGTCGTAATTTTAAATTTAATACATTTTTAAATTGTATGATAAATTATTTTAAATATTAAATAGCATAGTTAACCATAATAAATTGTAATTTAGGTAAATTTTTTAAATAATCATTATTTCGTGTGTTAACGTTTTAATATAAACAAGTTATTGAAAAATGTATAAGATGATAAACTTCAATATTTTATGATATTGGTATTGAAAATAGGAAATCTTACTAATGATAAGTAAAAACGATCGAACAGAGCATAAAAAATGCATTAGTAACTGTCGACTGTTTTAAATTTTTATTAATGTCGGCTCTAATTTTCAACAATACTCCATAGAGAAAGGATACAGATTATTGTTTTGTAAGGTTTTCTACGTTCAAATTTAGTTTGTTCCAGCAAGACATATTTGCTTCAAGGGTACCTACTCACCATTCTAAGACTATTTCATTGTTAAATGGGGTACCAAATAAGATTTCAAAACTATAGGTAGTATAGTTACCTTGTGATTTGTAACTGCAACGCTGCACCTAACGATAAATACAACGAGTTTATTGAATTATGAGTGTGACTGCTTATTAAAATAGCACTTCAATATGTAATACATTATCATGAAAAATGTGTAATAATCATTTGTATGAATTGCAATAATTGTAGTAAAACAAATAACGGAATTTGGTAGTTCTAGTATATCAAATATAATACTACTATATCTAATTCACATTTATAAATATTTAATTAGATAATAACGATTATACTAGGCAAGTATAACTAGCTGGTTTTTGTTATTTTAGATTCTGAGCGGAGAATTGAACAAATTGGTTTTACACGGATGTGTGAATTTTTTATTTTGTGTCTTTTATCACATTCAAATTTGAACTTAAAATATCTATTAAAAAACTCTGTCTGTATATTTATTAGATTTTTTTTTACCGTATAAACTATTTATGAGAAATCTTGGTTTAAATTTTCAATCCTTAGCTATAAAAATGCATTATCTTATTAATAGTCTTTAATTTCAAAATCCAATTTTGATTGTTGAGATTTTGATGATTTTGTACTTTGAATGATTATAAAAAATTGTTGAAAATATATTTTAATATTTCTAAGCTGTTATTATAATAACTTATACGGTCCTTGAATTATATTTTCAAGTTTTCGACCAAGGGAAAAATTATTTATCGATAATAATTTAAAAAAATTGAAAAATATCAAAAATGTATCATGCCTATAAACTGCTAAATAACAGATCAAAATATTTTGAAAAATGTATCGTTTATAAAAAATTGATAAAATGTTAAGGTATAATATATGGTTTTGAGTTACACCAAAAAAAACTAAATTGATTTTGTCAAAAGCTGATTTGCGTTTTTCTTTAATTGTCTTTTAGTTTTTCTCGACGCTTCTGAAAATTAGTGTGACTTTTTAATTTTGACCTCCCGAATGCACCAACTAATTTCACTTTTCTACCAGAAATGATAGTGAAGTTAAAAATCAGAATCATTATTTCGACTACCTACTAATTTTTAGTACACAAACACAAAAAAAAAATAAAGCACACATCATTGAAAAATCAATACATTCATCGCTCCGCTCAGAGTATAAAATGTGGAGCACAGCCCCTTATCGCCTAATACTAGTAATCAACATAATATTACAAATAATTAACTGTTTACATTCAAAATTTATATGTATAAAACAAATGCTGTAGCCAGTAGCTGGCAAATACACATAGTTGTCCATAAAAAAATTGCCTACAAGGTTGATTATAAATATATCTATCAATTATCAAATTATTATTTAGTTACAAATAAAATATAAAATATAAATATAAATTAATATATATTTTAAACTTATTTAAAGTTATATAGGTAGTTTGATGTATAAGAAAAAAATGCATATGTAGATAGGTACTAGATAGGTACTTCAGTACTTGATGTAGGTATTGTTTAGTCTAGTTCATGTAACAAAATAATTACAATAGATTTAAATGATACAAAATATTACAATATTGTTAGTAAAAAGAAAGTTACATTTTTAATCACTTATAATTTATACAAATATTAAACTATTTCAACTATTTTAAACATAGGATAATAATATATTATAATGACCGTAAAGATAATATCGTAATTATTCGTAAAAACTTTAGAGTACTTTAGAGGGAAGTCGGGCTATTGGATGGTAATATGAGTGCAAAAGGAGAAAAAGAAAAAAACGTCGAAAACACCCTGAAATTGGAGATCGAAGAGCAACCGGAAGAAAACAATAATGAAGTAAAGGTTTCCGATGACGATGAACGTTGTGTAAGTACAATAAATAAATCCTCACATCATTTTTATAGTCCACTTATTTGCTCATTCTTATACAATATCAAAAATACCAATTGATCATAATCTTTAAATACTAAATACTATATACTATGTCAATTAGTTATTTGCCTATTTATTTGTTTAATTATTAATTATCACGTTTATTAATTTTAGTAACCACAATTAATGTCATTATGATGTATATACTATATAATTTAGTCACTTACTATCGAAATTTCTCAGCTGAAGTCGACAGATCAGAAAGTGAAATCTTAACATTACTGTTTTTTGAAAAATTATTGGATTCGAGTATAAAATACCTACAGGTATCAAAGCCAGGTCAAAATAAATAAGTACTTATAAGTTATAATTTATAAATTATTATATTAGGCAATAGGCATGTCGTGTACAATTAAATACTTGCGAAGCACCGTATAATATTGATGCTCAAAAGTTACGATCATCTTCAACAATTCAACTAGGTAGGTAGTCCATTATCCGTATAATAACACGATACGGTTTTGTAGACTTGTATAGAATTAATGGCTAATAAGTAATAATACAGTTAGTTCATATTATGTGCGGTAACGTATACCAATACTCCGCAATACACATGGTAAAATGCACGGTTAAGTATTATAAGTTATAAAGTATTATATTAATTATATTGTGAACACAACTTCACGAAACGATACCTACAGCCAGGACCGGATTTAGACTTTCGGATGCCCGGGGCAAATCTTTTTTTATGCTCCTAGCAGTAAAATTATTTAAAACCCAATGTCTAAGTAGTTAAGGAAAATAAATGTTGACAACATGTACTTATAAAGTTATAACTATGTAGGTACTTAAAACGTGTTTATTTCAAGTTGAAAGTACCACTGTAGTTCATGTATCTCAAATTCAAAAATTAATTTAAAGAAAGCAATAATATTAAAATAATTATAAAAATAAATAATCTCATTATTTTTCAAGTCTTAAATTTTTTTATAGTATTCTAGCTTTCTGTTTCTTCCCCCCCCCCTCCCCCCAAACATCTGTTGACTGGAGAAACTAAAGCCTCCGTTTAATCCAGCCCTGCCTACAACGGAGTTGTGAATAATCAACGAATAATATATTATTCTATACAGTATAAATAACTAGCCATCGTTTACAGTATTAAAAAATAGGCTTTATATTTATGTCATATTATTCTATATTTCTATTGGCAGGTAGTGATTATCAATGGTCCAACCTGGGGGGTTTCTCAGGTCCAAACACTCACTCCATTTGAGCCATGCTCTAATTGAGTATTCATATCGAGTGATAGTCTTATACGTGTTCGATATTTAATTAAAAACATTTAATAATAACAAAACTTAAAGTTATACTGCATACAAAATAAAGGTACTATGGATCATCCGTATCACCAAACTGGTGATTATAACCAATTGTGATTCTGGTAGTTGGTACGAGGTGCTTATAAATTATAATAATACTTAAATATAGCCTCATAGATTATGAATATCATTTAATGATACATAGGTACCATTTCCTAGTTTATTATTAGGTTAGGTAAAAACATAATATGTATCCTTTTATTTAATTTTTGACTGGCAATTTTAAATGCATTTATGGCTATTAGCTTGTTTTCGAATTTTGTAATTTAAAATATAAAATCACAATTAATGTGCACCTATTTCAAATATAATTTTATACTTTTTTCTAAACATACTTTATACTTTTTACTATTAAAAATATAACATATGGCCATTTCTTTAATACCTACAGCATGTTATATCTATGGTTTAAATGCGCTACAACTTGAAAAAATTGTGTTTGTGACTATTATTTATTTATATGTATTATGTATTGTAATACAATTATAGTGCAGTAGTATATTATTTTGTGTCTGGCCCCCTATTTTTCCGTTTTTAGATCTACTACTGAATGTTTTTGTAAATATTATAGTATTAACTATAAATAAAAGAACCCATGTTTCACTATCCGAATAATAATAAATTATCGGGTCATACTTGTAGATAAAGATTACAGAGAATAAATTTGCAGTACCTTCGAGACGTTGATAGGTAAAAAAAAATACTTATTGAAGGGTTACATGGAACTATTATGGGCTATGCTTTTAGATGTTTATCGTCTCCGATTACTTAATAGTATTGTAATAATTCCACAAAATCTAAAAATTGAATTTTTAACTGAAAATGAATTTCCATTTTTCGTTTGGCGACGGTCAGCTTTTCGAATATCCTTGTCGGCGGCGGTGACAGCGGTGTGAGACGGAGTGAAGGGGAGAGTGTGTGTGGCGACGGCGGAGGCGGCGAATGCCAGGTGTTCGCCTCAACTGACGACGCGCCAGTCGTCCATCCGACATGACCGCACGCGCGTTTTCTTGCGCTCGTCAAACCTTCGTCGTCATTTCGCTCTCGTTCAGCCACCGTCGCTTTTCGTGTTTTTCTTTGGTGCGCGCAGGATAATAAACCAACACCAAGAGACTTTCCGCATGCTGTAACATCACAAGGCGTTTTTTTTTCACACAAGGTATATACATCATATACATAGGTACATAACTGCATGAATTATATTTGTGTTAAAGCAAAGTAAAACTTTTAACTTAACTATAGGTACTTAGTTTGTCTAATGAATTAAAAAACTTGTTTAGGATAAGTCTTGCCCTCAATAACTTAGGTTTTCCCGATCATATTTTTAAAAAAAAATTCAATTACAATTTTAAATTAAAATCATAATTAGAATAATATAATTTAAATGCGTCTATATATCTTGTACACGTAAAGATTTTTAAGATTTTTTTAAAGTAGATACACAGCTGCAATAGGTCTTTTCGAGTAGGTGTTTCTATACTACAGAAATCAACGTCAATGGTTAGGTTCCATAATGTCCAATAGTTCTATAATACTAGCATCGATTAGTAGCGATATAGAATTAGCTTACCAGCGGTCCAGAGGTCCATTTACTCGGGCATTAAAGACCTGTAGAGCGCACCCATATTCTTAGCTAAGTATTGACCTTAATTTAATACGTATTATATGTATGTGTTCTGAAATAACTTGTGTCTTTGGTTTATATACACATTTGACTGTTATGATTCTCAGTATAGCCTATTATATATGTATATTATAATATTAAATAAGCTTGAAAACAATTTAGAACATTTAATATTTTAGTAATTTTTTTTTTCTTATCCACTTCACATAATATGCTTATTGAGCTATTCTGTACAAATTTTATATCTCACATAAAAAACAAAAAATAATAATATTATATAAAACAAACACAAATAGGTAGTATTGCAATTATTTTTGATTTGTATATCTGCTGAAGATATGCAAACTTTGTATAATAGGTGTACTTGTTTGTATATACTATATTGTATAATGCACATTTTATTAAATATTTTTTAACTTATTCATATAGGCGCCTATTTGATTGTCTTGAAAAAACTATTTAACAATAACGTAAATTATGTTAGCGATGAAATATCAAACAAATAACAATAGTATATAAATAAATTCACACGAACCATACAATATTCTGTAAGAAATATTTAACAATCAAATATCAAGTATGAGATATGAATTAATTAAAAATATACGTGTAGGTTTTCTCTAGAAATTCAATTGTTGTTAAATTACCTACACTTATAAATTATAATTATATTCTGTCATATCATAAATGCAAACAACTAATTTAATTCCATATGTAATATCCATATTATTAAAAATTGTATTTGAAAAAAAAAATGACAGTGTTATATACTAACCAACACTATCAACTATACAAATATTTGTGATTTGGTTATTATTTTTAACAATTTTTAATTGTCTACAATTTAACAAAAATAATTTTAGAAAAAAAGAATGTTCCAAGTCTAAAATATCGTGTATCTAGTTGTACCGAGTTCGTAGATTTTTTTATGATTATTATGATTATTTTATAAGCTTTCCGAAGTGTTTGAAAAATGTAATCCAGAAACTTTTTACAATCACCTAACTGGTTCTTAACTAGTTCTTTTCAAAATGTCTATTGAATGTGTTTCTTATAATTGTTTTTAAAGTGAATAACATAGAACAAACAAAAGTGCTGCAATTGTATCGGATTTTTTTTATGAATAACAGACTTATTTAATTTATAAAATTAAAATAGATATAATGACAATTTTAAATTTTAAATACAACTTCTTATTATTAGTATTAAATGCAAATGTATTTTTATCATAAAATCTATTCGTATACTTCAATAACTTCTATAAAATATAATTAAATATTGTTAAACCTTCGTAGTTATCACACCTTGTCAAGAAAAAACATTTTTTAATTTTAAAATAATATGTGTTACATAACTATTATGAAGTACCTACCTATGATTTAATGTTTCTTAATTCTTAAGAATTTATAAAATATATTTGGAATCATAATAATAATTCTTTTTATGACATTTAATTTGTTTGTTATAGGTAGAACAAGTATTTTATATACAAGCTAAAAGAAAATTATAATAACACATGCTAAATCGATGATCGATGATTAGATTGTTTTTAATTATAAGTACCTATTAAATTGTAAATTATTGCATTGAACACTAAAATTTGTCCATCTACACCATAACATTTGTAACGAGTACTTACAATTTATTTTAACGATCACTTTTACTTTTCATTAACATCTGATAACATGACATTGTAGGTAGGCTACACTTTATTACAATGCACGAGAGTATGAGACACACCTGGTGCTGTGTTTAAATGTCATATATTGTAATAATATTTATAACATGCATAGTTTTTAATACATGAATTCCTATACTTTTTTACCTGTTGGATAATCGTAGGTAGGTATAATAATTATTTTCATGATTATGTCTTATTCGTATTATCTACTCGTGTTTGCTTTACATAAAAATTATAATTCATTATAATTTGGATACGCAAGTATCATATACAAATTTAAAAATGATAAGTCTAATTGACAAATCAATTTAACATTATTTTGATACTACGATATAAATTAATTTTACAGTAATTGCTTATTTATTAATTTATTCAATATTGATGTCTTGAATGCCTATAACATTTAATTTACTTTGTATTTAAGAGGTTAATAATAAAATATTGTTTAATAACTCTAAAATCATAACCAATATAATGTATACCTACTTATTCAGTCTTTCATTCAAGAATAATAAAAAATAAAAAATATATATATAATACCTACCTATTATTTAATTAATATTTTACAAATATTGAAAAAATCAATAATGTAATTTTTACATGTTTTATAATATATTATACGTCTTAATTTAATAATAAGTTCACCGACGTTAGTAAAATACTATGTTCTGTAAAGATAATTACTTACTACAATGGTACAGACGTCTAATGTATTTTTATTAACGTTTATTATTTCTTTATACTTGTCATACCAGTGGCGTAGCCAGGATTTTTTTTCGAGGGGGGCTGATCAATTTTTTACACAGCGGTGGTTTAGTTTTTGATCGAATACCATAGACCGTTAAAATAATTTTTTAATTTTATTAACATTTTGGAGGGGGCTGCAGCCCCCTCAGCCTCCCCCCTGGCTACGCCACTGTGTCATACTAATAATTAATAAGTAATAATCTACTAAAGATTAGATTAGGTCAATAAACAATTACTTAACATTTAATGAATCAACAGTGAACCACTAAAAATCTCTTTCCGAGTTTCACCAAATATGATAACATTATTAAAATTAAGGTATCATTTGCTATTATAATAGTTATAGAGAACAATATTACTTTGTGCTTTGTCCGAAGCTTTTATTAATATTCTTATTTTTAAGTAAATTATTAGTTTTTTTTTATAAATTAGTTATTTATAATTATTAATAACTTTTCTAAAATGTAAACTATTAAAAAATAAAGCTTCTGACAAAACGCAGAGTTCCTAATACATCAACAATAGTTTAAACATTTAAACACTTATGAGTTATGCATTTTATATAATCACTCGTTGTGCATTTAAGGCTTTATAATATATAGGAAACTAAAATTAAACCAATGAATAAATAACATTTAGAAGGTGTGAATTTAGAATGTTTGATCTAGATTAAGAAATATTTAATTATGATATTTTCAAAAGTGAATTAATATAAGTCGTAATACGAAACATGTGTGGTACATTGTACATACAAATATACAGTTGTACATAATTATTATTATAATATTCAAAATTATAATTTATTCATGGAATTTTATTATTATTCTTAATCGTATAGGACATTACTATGTGAGTAGGTTATGTGTATAGCCGTGCATAACCTATGTATATGTTTAAGGTTCGCCGAACGTTTTGATAATATTATATGTTTACCTTGTCCTTTGGACCATGAAATATTTTCACTGTTTTATATATTAGTCATTAGAATATAAATCAGAATTGACCGCAGAAGCCAAAGACCTTCATCCTGCATGAAGTCTATACTTCGTAGAATAGTAGGCTAGTTAGTTATACTAATGTAAATGCACATTACACATAACGACAACGACATGACGCATAAAACATCACTCGTACGCATGAAAAGTGTAATATGGTGTCCACTTATAAAAACGTGCAGGGATAGAATAATCATTTATTGTATTCGGTTGCATAGTTCAGCGATGAGGGTATTTAAATGTTGCTTATACTCATTAAGTTATTACTGACTACTCGTGATACAGTGTAGTCGTAAGAGATAGTATAAATATTGAAAATTAATTTTCGCTGCCATTAATCAAGGCTAGGAAAGTCGTTCGATTATTCTAACGCGTTAAGTTGAGGTAAAATTAGAACATTATAGAATAATTAAAAACAGTTGAAACCTGGGGAAAATAAAATTATGTACGTGCTCTGTTTCAAAGTCAATATGTAAATAATTAACAATTATAAAGTAATTTTGATAAATTATATTAAACGCATGACGATTTACGATGCACGACGAAGAAATATTTTCAAATATTTTGCCTGCAAAATAAAAACCTATTTAATTAGTAAAAAAAGTACCTAACTAAGTATTTTGAAATCAAATAATTATTATTTTAAGTTAAAATTATAGAGAGGAAAAATTATTTGTTGTGTAACTCATAAACTTGTACAAACTTTTTATAAATTCAAATTTAACTTTTAAACTTTTTAATATCCAGTCTTAATATTTATTAATTATTATCACATGTTAATATTTACTTTATTATTTTGTGAATGTTTGAGATACAATTAAACATATTGATATTAATATTCGACGACATAGATCAAATGAAAACTCTAATTATTATTTATTAGTTGTTTATATATTATATTATATATACGTTATATACCTACATTAACTTGTTCAGTTATAAATGTTAAAAGATATTTTTTTGTATGTGTATTTAATAATTTAAATTATAACATATTTTTAAACGAATCGAAAATTTTAAAACCATGGTCAAAACCAAACAATGGTAAAACCATTGTCAATGTATCACTTTATTTTACTTAGATAATTACCTAAGTAAATTAAATTTAAGAA